ACCGATGCCGCCTTTGTTAAGTACACGGCACACGCTACCTTCAGCCTTGTAACGGCGCCTGCCTGTTGAATATGGCCTCGCTCGCCTGGTGCAGGGTACGATCTTGATCGCGGTGAATCCGTTGCGGAAGGTCGCCGACCCGGAGATGAGCAAGTACATGAACCGCTCTCTTGATCCGGAGGCGCCTCACCCTTACGCTATCGCGGAGGTGAGATTCACGTCACACGTTTTTGCCGCTCCTACATTACGTCAACTTTGGAAGATGTTCTTGTGTAGATTATTTCGCGCCACCCAGCAGTACCAGCGAGGTCAATGGTCTAACGACTACGGCATGCACGACTATGAGTACACCCCCCCCCCTCAGTAGTAGTAACATGGTGCCAGACAGATGACGGACGACGTATTTGCTGGTTACTCGCTTGTCTCTCGCGACCGAAGGGTCATATGCCGGAGTTGCACAGCGGGCCACTTCTGCGAACCCACATGATTGGCTAGACTACTGGTAATGTACTGGACCTCCTTTGTTGGCGGGCTTGAGAATGGCAATAACCTGACCTGTACGCGCTTTTGATGAAGTTCCGATACGTTCAACCAGAAAACGGACAAGCGCTAGACGAAGTGATCCCTAGTGGCCAAGCCGAGGTGTCGCAGGATGTGTGCAATAGCCTGTGGGGTTTGTTTGTAGTCGGACGTGATGTTATCATCAACCGACCCAACCTCTTCCGCCGTCTTTTCCCTGTGTCTGCGCCCTGTGCGAATCCACTGCTGGATGTACTGGAATCCAACAGCTATCGTATCACCAGATGAGGCTTGGGGGAGGCCGTAAGGCGGCAAACCAGTCTATCGTGGTGTCTGGCGAAAGTGGAGCGGGGAAAACGGAGACATCCAAAATCATTCTTCGGTGGGGCAGATGCGACACGCATGTACTTCTCTGGAGTATCAATTACCCCCCTAACATATTGAACCAACAAAGATGTATGCTCGGCAATTGATGATTCTGGACTTTTGTTCGCCCCCATGGCTCAAGTCAGGTCATGAGTGGTGCGATGTTCAGTACCGTAAGTTGGACAAAACTTTTGTGTAGCCTACTCAGGCTAGCTTTGGCTTCGGGTGAAGTTCTTGGGATGTTGGTAATGTTTCCATTTTCTCGGCGATGCCGGTTTGTGGTCTACCTTCGTGTGACGCTTACTGTAGCTCACCCGCCCGGCGCTTTCGGGCTTGGACCTATGTACTGTACCCCAACCCAACCCGCATATGCCTTCCCTCCTTTCAGGTTTTTGACGCACCGGTCAGTGGGAGGTGTAATGGGGCTGGAACAGAAGGTGGTGGACTCTTCTCCGATCTTGGAGTCTTTCGGTAACGCCAAGACGCTGAGGAACAACAACTCGTCGCGGTTCGGAAAGTTCTTGAAGATGCAGTTCACCAAGGACAAGTATCGCCTAGCGGGGGCGTTCATCGAGACCTACCTGCTGGAGAAGAGCCGCGTACTTACACAGGGCAAGGTGCGTTGTGCTGTGTTGCCGCTACGTAGGGTGCGGCTGTGCATGCTATACGTAGGGAGGGCTGTGCCGTGGTGGTACCCACACATGAGAGGAAGATTCGTCGCGATGAAGTCCTTTTCAGTGTGCTCCCATTTCTTAACCGCTTCCACAACAGCAGCAGTGCAGTGCCTATCAATAGTGGGTTAGCGGTTAGCGCTCGTTACCAGCGTGCCAGGCTCGTCGCTTCCTTAGGCAATCTGGACGTGTGTATTCCCAACTGACAACGGACAACTGGGTGCTACAACGCCTCCTTCTGTTTTTGGTGGCGCCGGAACTACTGCTGTACTGAATCGTCTCGAGTACCATGGTACTCGTTGTTGAGATCACTCTTTGCTGTGTGTGAAACACGCACGACATTATGGAAATGTCCCTTGCTTGTTCCAGGGGGAGCGCAACTTCCACATCCTGTACGAGCTTGTGGCGGGAGGGGCAGCCTCTGGCCTCGCCACGGAGCTCAAGGTAGGGGGGGGGACAAGCCAAAGGGCCGGCTTTGTACATATGAGCAACAGGAAGGGGCAACAGGTGCAACCAACTCTTCCCCGTCATGTCTTGTATTGTACCGGTATCTGCTTTGTTGTCCTGGCTGTTTTTCGCCGGCCGTGAAGTGGTCTCGTGGTGAAGTCTACGTGCTGGTAGTGAAAGTAAGTTTGAACGGTTGAGTTATGAAGTTGTTCGAGGTGCAGTCTAAGTGCTGGTTTTGTTCGCCTCCATGGTGCAAGTCTGCCGTGAGCCTCGCACATGAATCAGAGAATGTATTTCTGTATTTCTGCTGTCCAATTGATCGCTTATCGATTCCCTCACTCACCAACCAGCCCGCCTTGACTGTTGTGGTTCTGCCGACACGACGCGATAATCGATGACTCTCTTATCGGGTACAACAAATGGCTCGCCTGTTTTGTGCAGCTCGGCAGTGCAGAGACGTACAAGATCCTGGGCGAGAACGGGTGCATCACCCTGGACGGTGTGGACGATGTCAAGCAGTTCCAGAACGTTCAGAAGGCGTTCGACACCATCGGGATGGACAAAGACACTCAATTGCAGGTGTGGAGTGGAAATCGAGGCCAAGTAGACGCCACTGACAGGAGCTGTTGCGTGTACCACGATCGACTACAGTATTCCCGAAAACCAGCCCCGCAGCCTTCCAGGGCAAATACCCTACCAACAGGGGAAACCTGGACCACCACTCCTCCTCCCCGGGTGGCACGCCCAAGTCACTTGTTGGACGTGGATCACGCGGGAAACGGGATTCACAAGGCAACTAACTCCAGTTGCGTCGTGAAGTCCGTTTCCCAGGTTATCCACCTATCACCAAGTGACGTGGGTGTGCCACCCGGGCTAGAGGAGTGGTGGTCCAAGTTTCCCCTGTTGGTAGGGTATTTGGCCTGGAAGGGCTGCGTGGCCGGTTTGCGGGAAAAGTCTATCGTGGTGTGCAACCTGTTTTGGCACACGTTGCGGCCTGTTGGCAAGAAGGGTCGTTACCAGCAGCCAGGAGGGTGTCGGCGACTCGTTATCAAATCTACGATGCAAATATATGCTCATCACCTAGTCTTAGGATTATGTACGTAAAACTATCGCTGCGGATGGCGCTGCCGCTCAAGTCAAGTGGCTGCGAGTTTTGCGGCTGTGAGAACCTCTTCAACATCTTATCGGCAGCCTCGTGAAGACTTTTTCCTAGTTTCCTTGGCCGCGGCAAGGGCGGCCTGCTCCTTGGCCTTACGCTCCTCCGGGTTTGTCGCTTGGCAACGAGCCAGCAACACGTTGTCGGCCGTGTCGGTGTGCGAGCGGTGACTCGTCCACTTCTTGAGGTCCCGGGTTTGCAAGTAGCCCTCAACCCTGTAGCTGTAGGCATCGATGCGGCGAAATGCAGAAGAGAAGCGGGGTGTGCGCACACTTGTTGAGATGTGGACATCAGCTCCGCCCTGCAGCACTCCAGCCCCCGCTTCTACAGAGGACAACAACAAGGCGGGCGAGGTCGAGGATGGGACGGTTGTCTTTGAGATTGAGGGAGGTGGAGACGACGGAGACGAGGTCTGCAATTGGTTTGGAGCAGATGACATGCAAGGGGTTGATGTGTGCTTCGAGTCAACCGTCCCATCCTCGACCTCTCCCGCCTTGCTGTTGTCCTCTGTAGAAGCGGGGGCTGGAGTGCTGCAGGGCGGAGCTGATGTCCACATCTCAAGAAGTATGCGCACACCCCGCTTCTCTTCTGCATTTCGCCGCAGTTCTCGGCGGCGCCGCTGCTGCAGTTTGGTCTTGCCGTCGCANATTGAGGGAGGTGGAGACGACGGAGACGAGGTCTGCAATTGGTTTGGAGCAGATGACATGCAAGGGGTTGATGTGTGCTTCGAGTCAACCGTCCCATCCTCGACCTCTCCCGCCTTGCTGTTGTCCTCTGTAGAAGCGGGGGCTGGAGTGCTGCAGGGCGGAGCTGATGTCCACATCTCAAGAAGTATGCGCACACCCCGCTTCTCTTCTGCATTTCGCCGCAGTTCTCGGCGGCGCCGCTGCTGCAGTTTGGTCTTGCCGTCGCACTTGACGCGGCCCGAGCTGCCCGAGCTGCAGCTGCCATGATCACTGTCGCTGCTGTGCCGGCTGCGGCTGCTGCTGCTGTGGTCCTCTTCGTCTCCTTCATAACATGTGTCGTTGTCACGTTGTAGTTGAGTGTCCGCAGCGAGTGGTGGGGGAAAGTCCGCTTTTTTCCCGCCGAACCGGTCAGCTGCTCGTGTTTGGAAGCTGCCAGCCTTCTTTTTGGGTCCGGGAGGACGCCCGCGCCCAGGATTTTTAGAGTATAGGCCTGGGTGGGCACTCGGTGGGGTCTATGGGACTGCTGTGTGGCGTGCTGCATGGTGTGTCGTGTGATGTGTGTGGTGTGCGAGCACACCAAACTTTGACCGGCCATATCTCCTTCAAAAAAAAATCGAAAAAAAAAAACGGTCCTGGGTGCAGGTCCAATTCGCCCGAATTCGTGAAGGTTTTCGAAATCTATCGGTGCGTTTCTCCCCCAAAAAAATATATGTGAGGCCACCTGGAATTGAGTTTTTTTGCCCGTTTCTCCGTGATACCTCAGCGAAAAAGATGTTGAGTTGGGTCGCCGCGTACCCCTCGACGTGATACGCTCAAAACCGGTCTTAAAAAAAAATGGACCTCACACTCGAGCAAATAGAACGTAACAAAATCTGGCAAAATCTCGACGGAATCGCGATTTTCTCGCCAACAAAAAATAAGAAAAAAATCTGCTCCGATCAAACGATCCGCCTGAAACAGAGCTTTCTTACGATATAATGTATGTTACTAGGGGGTACGGTAGTCACTCAGAATAAAGTCCGAAGTGATTCCAGGAAATCGTGGGAAAATTTAACCGGCTAGACTATAATAGCGGAAACCCTCTTCATCGAAGCTCCCGCTCACTCATACCCCGCCCGTTTGAAGGTCTGGAAAGCGCTGGCAGCAGTGCTGCACATGTCCAACCTTCGCTTCGACAAGGCAGACAACGAGCAGGGCGAGATCGCGGCCATCTCCGACCGTGGGGTGAGTGCCACGTCAGAGGCTGCGCCAGCCGCGATGGGCTTTTACGTACGCTGCTGGTTGGTTGTGAATGGCATCGAGATATGATGTAGGGTAGCTTCGGTCCCACCTGTCTGTTTCGCGATTCCGCCCGCCTTTTCGCGCACCTCGCGGCCAAACACGTGACGTGTTTCCTCTCCTCTCAATTGTTGCCGATGGTATTACCGTTACCGTTACCGTTACCGCTACTGTGCCGTTCGTGCAGGCCCTGGCGACGCTGGCTTCTCTGCTCGGGGTGGAGGAGGCCGTCCTTGAGAAGATGCTGACTCAGAGGGTGGTGCAAACGAGGGGGGAGGTTTTCGTGAAGCAGCTGGAGGAAAACGACGCCAAGCTCACCCGCGACGCCATAGTCAAGTCGCTCTATGAGGTGGGCTACACGGCTGCCGCGGGAAGGGGGGTGTGGGGGGGGGGGGGGGGGGGGGNGGGGGGGGGGGGGGGGGGGGGGGGGGGGGGGGGGGGGGGGGGGGGGGGGGGGGGGGGGGGAGTGGCGGTGGTTCAACAACTCTAGTCTCTAATGAGAATAGAGGATGCCAGAATCAATGGTGAAGATGGGCTGCATTGGTACTCCGGAGGGATGGAAAGGGGGGGCTATGGTTAGAACGGTGCGACAATTGGGACAGGGCACAGCACCAACAATGCGAAACACATACTTGTATAAGGTTTTTTGTGATTGGTTCAGTATCACATATCTTGTTTTCAATACCGACGAATAGTTTTGCCGCTGCCGCCGTGCTCGCACTGCTCTTTGTACACTTGAGTGAGAGCTAGGAAAATTCGGTTTTGTTGCGTTGAGCCAGGTTGGTGTGTTGGTGGGCATAGAAAAGCCCACCGGTGGTGAGTTGCAAGAACCTGTGACGCTAGAGGGCAGCTGTTTTGACACGATTGCAACGCTTCTTCGAAAGGGTCTTTGACAGACAAGACCCTGTCGAGATAGTTACAGTGGCCCCCAGTGGGCACTGCTGCACATCGCGTGCCGTATCGCCCGACCATCGTCGTTGTTGGTCGCCGGCCCCTCTGTTGTTGGATGTGCGGGCGACTGCAGGCCTTGTTCCTGTGGATCGTGCAGCTGATCAACACGTCTTTGGGCAAGGGCGAGGAGAGCCTGCCGTTCATCGGAGTCCTCGACATTTTCGGTGGGTGTACTGCTGTAACCCTCGAGTGTTGTGTCGAGCGCAGGCACAAACGAAACAACATTTTCGCGGCGCGCTCACCGAAGACCGAAGACCGAAGCCGGGCGTTCCTCTTGGAGCACAGGGGGGCGGGCGCGTGTAGGGGAGGGAGAGGGGATGCGTGCAGCTTGTTGCTGTTGTCAGCAAGCGCCCGACTGCCTCGTGTGGACACACCCAGGAGGCAATTTTGCTGGTGCACACGCGAATTCCACAGCCTGCGGTGGTACGCGCATCGGAAGCACTAGTCCAAGAGAGTCAAATCAAGTCAACAGCAAGAGGATATGTTCGTGAGTGGATGGGTGTCTGGCTTGTCAGTCTGTCTCTCCTGGCGGTTCGTACGACACTCTTGTCTTCTCTCACTGCTACTGCTTTTTCTGCTCTCATTGGTGACTTGACAGGTTTTGAGAACTTCGACACGAAGAACGAGTTCGAGCAGCTGCTCATCAACTTCACCAACGAGAGCCTCCAGGACACCTTCAACAAGCAGGTGTTCAACAACGAGCTCAAGCTGTACGAGGAGGAAGGGATCGACGTCGTGGTCTCCAGCTGCCCCGACAACACCGCTTGCCTCCTCATGCTGTCGGATAGGCCTAAGGGCATCATCCCCAGGTGCGCGGTGCTGTAGCCACAACGGCGGTTGGTTGCATCAGGTGCTCTCGACAATACTCGAGGAGTGCCGCTCCTTAATTCTTGAACAGCTATTGTCCCTGGCACCCTGTTGCATGTACTTGATGGAATCGGCGTTCAGGGTAACGTGGTCCCAATGGTACAAGTGAGGGGGTTCGTTGTGATGGAGATGCGGTGGAACTCCTGCCGTGTGGCGCCGCCGTCGCTGCCTTCTTTACCTGAATCATTCTTCTCCCCGATATCAGATGACTCGTTCTTTTGTGCTATTCCTGTTGCTGTCCTTCTCTTGGCTGTATCGATACTCGAGAACTGAACGCCTCGCCTCGATACCGACGTGTGCGTGTGGATACATCAGTGTCTGTTGCTGTGTTGACCGGTCTGCGCTTGTCTAACGTCGTTCGTGCTTCCTCAAACGTCCGGAATGTTCTGTTGCCTTCGTTGCCTTGCGGTGCCGTGCCCGAGCAGTTTGGACAACGTGTGCGCGGAGCCCAATGCCAGCGACGCTCGCTACCTGGAAGGGCTGCACAAGACCTACGCTCGTCACATGGACTTCCCTCGCACGCAGCCCAAAGACATGGTGCGCTTGTTTGCTTTCCTCATTTCGCCCTTTGTTGCTTTCTTTTTACCGGCGAAGTTGTGACGGTACGGCAACGATAGAGAGAAGTTTTGTCGGAGCTAGCCAGCTCCTTTTGGTCGGGTGCCGATACCACGTAATGGCATGAGGCAGAGTGATGGGCTTGTGGGTTCTTGTTAGCTTCCTCAAAGGAGTCATGTCTAATGATGGAGGTCTATCATAGATGAAGCTCAAGCTCTCCTTGTTCAGTGCTACACGTCAAGTGACCATGCTTGTTGCCTACCCGTTCCGGGTGCTTTAACGTCCTATCACGCGAAGTTTTTGTTTAATTCGGCAGAGTTGTTAACCGATTTTGATGTCTTTGCGGCGGCATGGTCGTCACAAATCCGCGTTTCCATGCCCCTCTGCGTGCACTTGGAAATTTATGTCATTCAGCGTGATTGCTTCTGGGTGAAGCACTACGCCGGCAAGGTGAAGTACACGATCGGAGGCTGGGTGGAGCGAAATATGGACAGCATCCCGCAGTCCTTCAACGACACCCTGGCGACTAGTACCCTTAAGGTAAACGTGTGGGGGAAATGATGAAGGAAGGAAGGAAGGAAGGAAGGAAGGGAGGAAGGATACCGGAAATTTTCTCTCTCGGGATGGTGTTCTGTGTCGCTGAGGCCCAGCCTCCAGTTCATGGTCTTGCCTCTCAAGCCCTGCATGTCGTTTTGTTTTGTGTTGGAAGGTGTGCTTGCTTGCGCACTGCTTCCAAGTGTATCAATCGGAAGGAGGGTTGAGTTCGGGGCGTGTGTGAAGTGTGTGTCTCGGCAGAGATTTGGTTGATGGGCAGCTGTTTCTTGGGCATGCTGAGGTCGCACGGAGCACCAGCTCTTCGTATCTAGCCCTCTCGTGTAAAATTGTTTTATCTCCTTTCTGAATGCAAAGATCGAAAATTCTACTGCTTTTCGTTTACACAAACTTGATTCTACGGTGCATGCGCTGCGGAGAACAAACGTCGTACTTTGTGCTTTGTCGGGCCGTTTGGACAGGTGGTCCAAGAGGCGGTGGCCTCGTATGGCCAGGTGTCTCCTGCCCCGGCGAGCAGTGGTCGCCGAGGCTCGGTAAGAAATAAGACAATATACAAGATACAAAGGTCTGTCAGTCTCCCTTTGCTCCTGCTATTGCTGTGGTTGTTGTTGTTCTCGATCGTGCCAAAATGTGTGATTCCTACTGACCTCCCAAAGTCGCGCGGTGTAGTTTGGCGCTCCTTGTCTTTGCTTGCCTCTCCTCTCCCCCTACAGTATCGACAGTAGTATCTGCGTCATGTCACACCGCAGGACCTTGTTTGGTGTCTAGTCTGCCATGCAGCTCATTCTCCCACGTGTTCGGGCACCTGGAAGCCTCTGTTTCATTCGCGAGTGTTTGCGTGGCTCTTCACACGGAGTCTAGTGCTTGCGGCGAATCTGATCGCCATTCTGCGTTTCGGGGCTGCCTCTTCCTTTTGCTCAGAGCCTTAAGAAGCCGACTGTGGCCAAGAGCTTCTTGGCGTCCATGCAGAACCTGAACGATACTCTGCTCGGAACGACGTGCAACTTCGCGCGGTGCATCAAGCCCAACGCCGCCATGGAGTGTGGCGTCTACGATAACAAGTGAGAGGGAAGGGAAGGGTGGGGGAAGATATGCTCGGGAGGTCTGGTGGACTGTCGAGCTCATTGGTTTTGCTTCTAGCGGCGAGTTTGGAGTATGTGAACGGCTGCTAGTTTTGGTATCCATCCTGGTTTTTGTCGAACGAATATTCGGATTGCCCGCGATTTTTCATGGCGGCGTGCTTGCGCCAATGCTTTCTCGCGGTGCTTTTGCGTTTATTCGTTTTTCCGTCTCTGAAACCAACGCCAGGTATGTCGTGGAGCAGCTTCAGTGCCTGGGCATCCTGCAGACGTGCGAAGTGCTCAAGGTCGGCATGCCCACCCGCGTCACCTACACCGATCTTAAAGAGGTGAGGGTATTCTCCACTCCAAATGTTAAGTGTTTGACTTGTCGCTTGCAAGTTTGCTGTACAGCGCCGGCAGCTGACAAGTTAGTGGGAAAGGTCGTCCCCAGGGAGTGGCGGTTTAGGCGAAGCTGGTTGGTAGATCCCATCAATGAGAACCGCGTTCCTGCCTGTGCTAAAACTGTGATCGATTTGCATTTACGCTACCGGCGACCACTTGGAGTGCTGCTGATTGTCGTGACCGCCTCCGCTCGGTTTGTCCGTGTGGATAGCTTACGGGTGTGATCATGGTGGTGACGTCATCGTTTCATGTCTTTTGTCGTGTTGTCACCTTCGGTCGTGCCTCGACCTCTCCTCTGACGTTTCGCCTTGGGACTGTTGTGGGATACTGTGGGACTGACTGCTGTGACTGCTGTGGGGTGTGGTATAGGTTCTGGGAAGCAACGCGGCGGAGGCGGAGAAGCTCTTCGCTGGAGAGCCGGAAACATCTCTCATCGCATCCATCCTCTGGGCGTTTGAGGTAGGTACTGCAAACTTTCCTATGAACAAGTAAGGTGGTTCGTTGAATTCGATTCATCGCTCGACAGATACATGTGCATGTGCATGCTGTACCCGATTTGTCCCGTCATAGATGGACACCATTTTGTCGTGATTTCGACGTGATTTTGTCGTTGTTATGGCAGGTCCCGTCAGAGGCGTTCCGGCTGGGCAAGACCCGCGTCTTCTTCCGCGCCGGTCAGATCTCCACCCTTCAGAAGATCCTCAACGAAACGCCCGCCGAAAAGTCGCCCTGGATCTTCGAGAGGCTGCAGGAGGCTCTGGCCAACAGGCAGAAGGCCAAGGCTTCTTCAGGGGAAGCCAAGGTCTATCGGGGTTTGTAAGGGTGGCATGCCGTCTACAGTGGCGAAAATTCGGGAGTTTGAGTATTGACGTGCACCAAAGTGGGTGGTTTTTTGTATGCGTTGGCGTTGAGAGGCGTGTGGTTGCGGTGTGCGGCAAGGTGTGTCCTTGTCCTTGGTGAAGGCAAAGGGAAGGGAAGGGAAAGGGAAAGGGGCACCCGCTCTAGCGTGGTTGTCGCCCATGACTTGCCAAGCTTTGCACGAATCGATTGAAAGCATAGTACGCATCTCTCTGTTTCACCGACCCCGTCCTCTCGATCGGTTGTATTTTCTGTTGCTGTTGTTTCCGAAGCATTTTTCGTCGTGTTACGGTAGCTCTTGGTGCCAGCACTGGATCTAAGCGTTTTGTGCGTGCTACGATTAAACTCAACTGCTAGAATTACACTCAACTGCTATAATTACACTCAACTGCTAGAATGGATCAGCACGACGAAGAACACATTTTGAGGTCAAGACACCTCTTAATTGCAAATTTTGTTACGCCGACCGACCATAGGGGTCAGTCAGAGAAACAGGCAGCTTTTCCACCGCGGCATCATAGCGCCCCTCCCCCCGCGCGAGGTTAGTGGTGTAACGACTCCGGCATGCACGATTATGAGTACACCCCCCCCCCCCCCCCCCCCCCCCCCCCCCCCCCCCCCCCCCCCCCCCCC